TTATTGCGGAACATCTGCTCACCGGTGAAGGCCTGCCAGAGGTAGGCTGCCATACGGTACTTTCGAATCGCCGTTTCCAACCCGTTTCCTTCGCGCTCGACCCTTTCCGGTACTGCATCGTATGTGCCATCTGAATCTTTCCCCAGGAGGATAACCAGCTGCAATGGCGGGTTGTTGACCAGAGGAAGATAGTTGACGCAAATCCAGGAGGAGTGGATGGCGGGGTGGGTGCTGCCCGTGGACAGCTTTGGCGAGACAAAGTCAAAGCGCAGACGATTAGGACCGGGAACTAGATGAACGAGGACTTTAAAATGCGATGCCGTGACTGGCCAGCAGGTCGACGGGAAATTATCTTGGTGGTGGTAGACAGTGACGTTTCCGTCCAGCGGATGTTGCCTTGGGTCGCCGATTTGACCATACACTAGCAGCACTTTCTGGTTGACCTGCACGATAGTCAGACACTCGATTCTATTTCACCAGAGAACAATATGCGCCTCCAATTTCTGTGCTGGCAGGCAAACATACCCATGAATTGTCAGCCACAGACACGAGTCTTGGGGCGTAAGGTGAGACGGGAGCCTGTGATCGGTACACGCCATTGACTGAGGACGAGCTGCTACCCTATATCCCGAAGCGATCATAAGTCAGTATTGTCCGTTGTCGCGGGAATGAGTACCGGTACATACAATAACGCTGTTTCTCTGAGAACCGGCCACCAGAGGCCCTGGTCGCTGTGTAGGCGGGGGTACACTGACTGCGCTGGTGGGTTCGGATTCATTGAGGGCAGGAAGACTGGGTGTTGAAAGGGTTGGTTTGATCGATGACGGTGGAGTGATTGAGTTGTGGGAGGAAGTGTCGATCGTGGATGATGATTTTCCGGAGACCTCCTCCACACTCTGGGATGGAGTCTTATGAAAAGTGGCCTTTGACCGACGCCGTAGGTCTTTGAAAAAAGGCATGGCGAAGTTGAGAGAGAAAAAGAGGGAGCTTGCCTGTTGTTTTTTTTTAAGGCGGGTAAATTGTCAGGAACAGGGTAACCGTTTGCGGTTGACGACAAGTCGCCCCGCAAGTCACCAAATAGGGGGGAGGAGGGGGAGGGGGAAAGGGGGATGAATGGTTTAATGTTGGTTTATAGAAGTGTACATGTGGTTTTTTTTTGGAAAAGAAGAAGGAAGAAAGAAGAAAAAGAAAAAGATCAAAGATCTCAGGGATTCCCCTTAGCTTCAAAAAAATAATGAGCGACTATACTTAGAGCACTTTTAAAAAAAAACCAGAAAATAGCTCTAAAAGGGCATTACGTACCCTCAATCTTCGCCTAACCTTCGCTATTATTCTGTTATCAGCTCAGCTCAAACTCTTTTAAGTCGCAATGTTTCAGAGTGGATCGGATCGCACTAATATCCTTAGCTTAGATCTTGTCTGAGAGCTCACATAGCTATGTGCCACCTTGCCCACCTGGACACGGTATGTCCTTCTTCCTCATTATTCCCTGTTTCAGGGTAAACTTCCTGTTATGCTACATTTTTTTGGGAAAACGATGGGAGTTACGTAGGTGGCTCTTGTTAAAATCTACCTACAACATAGGTACCACCCTTAAGGGGGCCAAGATTAGAATCTTGAAACGGGGGTCTCTAACAGGGCCACATAGATGGCTAGATACAGCCTCACAGCCCAAATAAGAATTGATTTATTATTTCCTTTCATCACACCATGTGGACATCTATGTGGTAGAATGCTTATTTTATCACGTTTTCCCCATTTTCCCCATTTCTCTCATTGATCCTATTTGTTCTGTTTCCAGGATTGGATACTTCATACAAAGTTCATAAAAATGCTTTCGGCGATCTAGAGCATACCTCAGGGGAGAGACGACCTCATTCTCCAGTCCAAGTGGATCGGAATCTGTGGCTGCATGCCTGGTTTCTATGGGGATTCCGGAACAGAAAAAGAAAACATTTTTCTTCTTTGAGAATACAAAGCTGTGGACTAAACTGTACAGAGTATAGTAAGTAGGTGATGGGATTTCAACAGGGTACGTGCATGTGGATTGATCTAATTTCCAGGGCAAACGATTGTGTTTGAAAACAATAAAATAATGAAATAATGGAACTAGATAGGGGTTACTGAGTTGAACTATATAATAGTCGCTAAGTACTCCGTACTCTAAGTACTATAACGATGGCGTACTCCGTACTCCGTACGGAATAGTTCAGATAAAACGGTTACATAGTAGAGTAGATCTATGTTGTAGAAGAAAGTTGATGCAAGACAATAAAATTAAAATTAAAATTAGAGACATTTGCTTCCCCAGTATCTTCTGTTTGACAGTTTTAGCGAATAAGAGGTTTCTTTCTTTCAAACCCAATCTGTTCAAGTGCTTCTCCAGAATTGTTCTCCGAGTTCCCGCATTTCGCCAATCTCTCACCCTTCCCTTTCGCCCTTGCTCCCCCTCCCCAAACCCCAACCTTGACTCTTCGAAAACGTCTTTCATTTTTTTTTATTTTTTGCACAGGGGTGTCTTGCTTGTTTCATTGGGTTCCTGATACAATGCCTCTATCACAGCCGGGCTCGGCAGAAAAAACGATCCGCAAAATCGATATCGCCCAGGTAAGAGATGGAAAAAAAAAGAGGCTGCGGATCCCTTGAGATGCAGCCTTGGCTGTCAGTTCAAATACTTGCTACTGTATCCGAATACTTTTAGATGATATTGTTGGTGATGTGGGACTGACCCTGGATTCTCTTCGCACAGGTTTCTCTCAGTCTGCAGGATCGATTGGGCCTTGCCAAACTCAAGTACCAACATGGTCGACTGCACGGTCTAAACCCAAACCAGCAGGATGGCAGACCCGCTCTTGAGAGTGACAAGCCTTCCGACTCTTCGTCCGAGTTCTCACGCAGTCGTTGCGAGACTCCCTTCACCTCCCCTCCCCTCCAAGCCTCAACCTACTCCAAGGAGCTCCCTCGATCCGCCCGCAATAAGCATGCCGCCACCTTCAACTCTCGAGTCATGCAGCCCATGCTGTCTGCCAGTCGAAAGCGCCTCCGGTCTGACTCCGATTCCGAACGTCCTGCCAAGGCACCTCGGGTCTCGTGGAAGAGTTCTTACCGGCTGCCGGAATCCCCCCCTGGCATGAACCGACACCGTACGAGCCGGCGCACACAAGCCCCCTTCATGTCCGAGGCTACAATCCCGGAGATGTCATCGCCTGTATATCCTGGACCGTCGGAAGAGATCGATCCGGATCTGCCGTTGCACAGTTTCCAGAACATGAGCTCGATCGTAGGCTCCTCCCCTCCACGAACCCCTCCTCCGAAACATATGCGATTGCCCCGAAACAACCAACCTCAGAACCACGAGGACGGTGCGGATTTGCTCTTGTATCTCGCCAACTCCCCGACCCCGGCTCGGGTTGCAAGGGGCAACGGAAATCAGGCCTTCCCACCTTCCACTCCTCCCAGCCAGCACGCAGTACTGCCCGGCATGACACCCACCATGGGCGGTGGCATGTTCGCCAACATCAGCACACCCAATCAGCAATTCAATTTCGCGGATTTCGTGAATGTGACCCCTAGCCCGGCGCAACCAACTTGGGGTGGCCGCACCCCGGGCAATCCTGCTCGCACCCCACTTACTAGCAACAGAAAGCGATTGAACTTCGATGCCCTGGTTCCTCCAAGCAACACCAGCCCTCGACTTCGTGGCAAGGAAACAGGGCTGGCGTTACAACTCGGCGGCGAACTGCATCCATGAAACCCAGTGTTTCTCTCTTCATTTTTCTCTTCTTCTGTTCATTTTTGCCTTTAACTCCCTCTTAAAAACCCCATTGACGACTTTCTTATGATCATGTTATGTACACATTGTGTTCATCCCCTATGTAATTTGCCCTCTCTCCGATGTGGAGGCTTGCTCTTTCGAGGACCTGAGCCTCGATTGGGAGGGCCTCTACCTGGACTTGCATCCACAGGCGTTGTCTTTTTACCTTTTTAAATGCTTTACTATCATGTCTTGCATTACCTCTCATTCATGAAGACAATATGTCTTGCATTTTCTATGTCATTGTTTGCCCCTGGCAATTTCACTGTTCACTCCTATTTCTTTCTTTCTTTTTTCCACCCTTCCCAACTTGCCTTTGATGAGTTTGTTTAATATTTTTGCATAGCCCCTGTCTTGATATAAGAAGATGGAAGATGAAATGAAATATGTTCACTGAGAACATACGTGTATCTCAGCACAGCCTATAAAAAACCACATATTTCACCTTGCCAATCTATTTTTATTATGCTTAGTGGCCCAGAACACCCCGGGGGCCCCAGCCCACTACACATCTTATTGTGGACCTTAGAGCATATAGGGCGTCTCAGCCCAGCATGAACTTCCCTCTGATCGGCTTATTGAAAAATATGTTGTTTCCTTTCCCGTCAACCACGTAGTCAACCCCTCATTTTCACGTCCAATCCGGTCGCGTCTTTTCGCGTCACTTTCGCGTTGCGGTTTAAGAGGATTTTCGGTAGCCAATCAGAGACGATGAGATTGAAAGTCAAATGTGATGTCATATAAGGCCCTACCTAATATTTTGCCACTAGGATATAGATATACTTTGTAGATAAAGGACATCAGGACGAATAGAAAGTACGGAGTGCCAGATATCCAATTGATCTACACGGGACTATGTTGACACGAGATATTCCGAAGTGAAATCACACTCGGAATAATTCACACTAAAGGAGCCCAAAATCCGAGTTCGTGCCTCAAAAAAAGGTCATTCGATTCATGGTAAGCATCTGGTATATTCCGTATCGTGTATTCTGTAACCTCTATCCTATATCTTGTATCCTCTGCCATCCTTTCTCTCTGTCTCGTCGTTCAGTATAGTTTCTCGCTTGCTGTCATGCTTAACTTGAAGCTAATAGGAATAATGCTGAGCGCAAGCAAGAGTAACAGATGGCCGAAGGAGAACACCCGGTGGTTCTTGTCAGGTCGAGCCTGTAATATTCACAAGTTAATCATCCGGGCCTAAACCAGTCAATGGCTTCATTAACCAACTTACATCGTATGTCCAGTCATCCGAACGACTCCAATGGGTGGCGTACCACATGACAAATGAGTTCCATGGGTAGATGAACCAATTCTTCTGAGACTTGTAGTCGATAAAATACTGCCAGCAAGTGAATATCAGATATATATATATATTCTCAACATAAGATGGGATGTATTTCCTTACACTACTGCATGAGGTATTGAAGATCGTCGTGGCGATTTTCTCATGCAAATTCTCATTGTACTCTTTCTCACTGTCGGGCTTGACCTCGACAAATGAAGCCCGGTCTTGAAGAACCGGTGCAATCACTTTCATAACAAGGTTGACGTAGCTATTACCCCTGTTAGCGGGGATGCCATAAAAGGAGATCAGAACACAACTTGACATACTTTTCAATGCAGTAAATGGCAGATGTGTGGCCTTTACCAGAGTTGGGACCAAGGACATAGAAGAAATTGGGAAATCCGGACATCGCGATGGATTTGTATGCCTCCTTGTAGCCGAAGTTACCCCAATGTTCGTCACGGGTCCGGCCATTTCGCCCTACCAGCTCGACCTCGTATTGCGTCAGGGCGAATCCGGTGGCAAGAAGCTGTGTTGGGGAGAATAAGGCACAGCTGGGACAACAAGCAAAGGGTCTGGGGTATTTTGACTTACAATTGCATCTGCAGGGTATTCCTGGCCAGATTTGGTGAAAATCGAATGAGAGGAGATTTTGACAATGGGATCATCTGTAAGATGAATATTGCTTTGTTGAAGGCAGCTGATATATCTACTGTTGTCGAAGATCCGGCGCTATATTAGAAGAAGACTCAGTATGTGCCCCGAAATTGAATTGAGTTCTGAAACCTTGCCTTGCATCCAATCTCATAATTTGGTGTCAAAAGGGGCCAATATTGCTCTTTAATCCCATAATAATAAGCAAATGGTTGACATCAACTATTCATATTCATTGAATTGAGCTCACCGGGTGCAGTGCTTTGAATGTAGGCTTTGCTTCTCTCTGCTGATAGATTCCTGGCTTTGTTTCCCTTATAATTAATATTGAATCTGACAGCAGTGCTCTCCAAAAACAGAAACACAACCAGTCTCAATAAACGTAGAACACCGGGCATATAGCGAAAAATGAATTTCCACTTGTTGTCGATTTGCATGTTTTCATTTTGCAAATAGAATTGGGGTGTCTGGAATAATGAGAAATAATATCTTCCAAATGTGAAAAGCGTGTCTTACCCGAATAAATTGGGTGATACTTCCAGCTTCTTTAGCAATAGCGGGAATAAGCTGAGCAGCCGAACCTGATCAACTGTTGGTGACATGTCCTTAGCGGGGGGGAGAAAACTCACATCCATTGCCAACGACGATCAGATCTTTCTGATGAAGAGACAAATCTGCTTTCCATGCAGCGGTATGGACAATATCCCCTTCAAAAGTTTCGATGCCCGGAATGCCAAATTGATTTGGGTTTACTAAGGCTCCAACAGCAGATATCAAGATTTTACACTCGTGATAGAATGTTTCACCTGTGGACAAGTCCTTCAACTTGACCAACCAGCTGTTTGTCAAGTCTTGCCAATATGCCCCTTCCCATTCTGTGTTCGGAACGATGTGTCGAGAGACGTCGAATTTATCCGCAACCTTGTTGAAGTATTCCAATATCTCCGCTTGTGGTGGGTAAACCTTCGAGAAATCGGGATTTGGGGCAAATGATAGACTGTAGAAGACCGCTGGGATATCCACGGCACAGCCTGGATCTATAATGACATGTTAGGCACTGAAACGTTTGAAGAGAAAGAGAAAAGAGATCAAACAAAAAACTAACATTTATTCGCCCACCAAGTCCCTCCTGGGGCAGGTGAACGGTCATAGATGATATAGTCATCACAATTGTGCTCTCTTCGAAGTTGACAGGCTGTAGCTAGACCAGAAAATCCAGCTCCAATGATGAGCACCTTGGAGGAAGTTTTGTTCTCAGAGGGCACCATATTGAAAATTCAAGATAAATTATTCTTCAAGTTGAATGAGAAGCGAAGCGTGCTTCGTAGTTTTTCCTACCGATTTCTCAAGGCTGAACTTATAGCTGCCCGAAGATAGCATTCTTTGTGAGAATGTCGTCTATAGTTCGGGATTTGATGCTAAAAGGGCCATAGATACTACGTGACTAGCATGGCGTACATGTCCTGGAGTTACACAATTTGGTGGATCCACAAGTCACCAACCAACCCACTACACCCTCCGGAACATCTAGGACGATAAGAGTAGATCTATCGGATATGAATTAATTAAAATGCATTTACAGATTGTTGATCTTCTCGTGTTTGATCGCAGTAAATTCAAACCCACTTTATATACTCCACGACCTAAGGCAGACAGCCCTATCTGGTATTGCAATAGCACCCATTTCGTCTATACGCATACCCCTATCATACACCGTTTTCTAGTTTCCTGCAACTGAAATGTGAGAGAAGGATACGGTGAATGGTCGTGCCAATAGGGAGATACATTGAGTTGTGATAACTTCTTGTATAGTTCAACATCGATTAGTCGTATTTGGTTGCATCAAATTCCACTCTATTGCACAATTCCGTTCGTCCGATATACTGTCTTGTATATTTCTTTTCAAGTTTGTACAGCAGAAACTATCAGCTTCTTTGTCTTTTCAACTTTCATCCAGTCATTCCACTACCACGAAGGCTCGGCCAGAACCAACATGTTTATCGCCTTTGTCCCTATCTTGGTGGATATAATCCATCATATTGGTTGGATCAAGACCATAAAGGTGTTTGTACCTTTCTTCCTGATAGCTATTGGTAGTACATTACTTGCCTGGGTGTCAATGGTAGCATTTATCCGGCGCAAGTTGGTCTTGTGGTCTGATGGAGACCCCGAAGATGAGAAAACGTTACTGGGAAGACCTCAACTCTATCCAGCACACCTAACACATGCTCGCTTCTTCCCGGAGAAGTACCATTACTGGATCAATTACTTCCTCGTTGGGGTTCCAATTGGACTTCGTGGTCGTGTTGGGAGTGTGGTTTCTATTGAAAGTGACCAACACATCCCAGTCACAAATCCTATCTACGCTTTTCTGAAAAGAATCTTTCGGGTTCCACTTTGGTTTAGAATTGATACTAGTTGGTATCTTCATCGTGGAGATGGGCATGTGACCTTGGCCGCAAAACTAGAGCGTTTTTTGAAAGAACGGGTATGTTAGCTCTACCTGGAAAATACCTATGCCTGATGTTAAAACTTCTAGGGCGAGGATCCAAACCAATATCCCTATGCATATCTCATCAGCATCCCCCAGTTTCTCTGGTGGACCAAAAGTCCAATCTCGTATTGGTATCTCTACTCGCCTCTCAAAGAGCTTAGTGGAATCATCATGGAAATCAACAACTCATACGGCGAAAAAAAGAATGCGTTCTGTCGATTAACCAAGGAAGACTCTTCCTCTTACGAGAAAGCGGCAACTTGCGAGGTTTTCAGCACGGCTTTAGGAAAGGGACCTCATGGCGATCAACTCATTCGATTCACCTCATCGGCTCCCACTGCCAAGTATTATAAGGGCAGCTGGGAGAAAGACATATTTGCTTCGCCTTTCGAGAAAGTTGAAGGTGGATTTGCCCTTCGATTCATGGACCCATTGCATCCAGCACCTGAAAAAGGTGGCCCACTGCACTCTAACATGACTCTTATCAGCATCGACGGCAAGCCCAAGATCTCCAGCCGTCTCTTTTCCGTTGCTCCGCCAGTTGACCCTCTTGCGGCATCATCTTGGGAGCTGGCGAGCTTCCTTCTCAGTTGGTCATTTGTTGTGCCAGTATCGATTGGTCGGATTGTGGTAGAGGCACTTCGTATTCGATTCAGAGGCAACCTGCCCTATTTGAACAAACCGGATGTGAAGAAGGGAAATATCCCTCGTAATGCCTCAGAAACAGAGAGGTATTATTACCAATTTTCTTTGTTTTTGTTTAAACTTTTCTGACTGTCCTCATAGGGATTTGGAACCTTTTTTCCGGCTGTACCTCTCCCACCTTGTTGAGACATGCCGTTTTCCTTTGGAGGTGATCTATACGCCTGCAAAATCACTACATCTCCACCCCATGTCAATGCATTCCCCAGTCAAAACCTACACTTCTGCACCGCCTCCCACTCTCCAAATACAGCCTCTCACGCCTCAGTTCTATACGAATATCCTGAAATACCCGGATCCTAAAACCGGAGTTTTCTCCGAAATGGAGAACATCCCCCAACCCTGTGATCCGGAGTCCCAGCGCTTATGGGCATCAGACCCAGCGATGTTGCAGAGATTGATTGAATCGACAGTAGATTTGCCTAATGCCAAGGTAATTCGAGTCCCCTCGGTTTCAGTCCCCGCTGAGCTTCCGATCTATCCCGCAAGCAATCCACCATGGCAAACGAATACGGGACCGAGGACGTTTATGGATGCTTTTACCGATTCCAACTGCCCATTAGGCATGCGCAGGAGATATCGGGCCGCACGGATCTACTGCTACCTAACAGAGAAGTTTGCGTGGGGGTCTTACAAATTGGCTGCTGCTTATGAGTTTCTGCTGCGCACGGTAGTCTTGAGGCTATATTGGAGGGGTCTGTGGTGGATGTTGTGCGACTTTCCAGTATCACGTTACGAGAACGTTTTGATAGTATCAGGAGTTTATTTTGTGGGGGTTCGAGCGTGGATGGCCCTGAGTGGCTATTTCTATAGATAAGCGGGGGCTAGTTGGGCTGTTTGGGCGTTGTTCGTGTATTTGGTTGGCTGTGGTAACCCTGGGTGCATGTGAGATCTTTGTGCTAATTCGAATTTGGAATCTTCTGCGTCGTGAAGAACTCGTAGAGAAATTTCTTTTACTGCTTTGAGTTGGCACGATATGGTTATTGCGTACCTGTTTGGTGGCGTAACGACGGGCCTATGAACCCTCTCCACTCCCGTAATTTTATATTATTGTATGCAGCTCATGGTCTAGGTTAGAGATGATCCAATCAGCTGTAACCAATTGGTCTAAGTAGCGCTGAAGATATTATCACCATATCATCAATCCCCGAGAATCAACCGCCCAAGCCGCCCAATCTTACCTACACCAATATTCATTCGTAGCTTCTACACCCAGAAAAGTAAGCCGTCCCATAAATAGGTTGTTAAGCCTACCTTATATTGTAGTTTTTGGCTAATTATGTAGTCCTGTAGGGTTATTCTATGAACGTGTATAGGAATTGATACAAAGGTGAATATGTATTTGAACTTGGGACTCTGTTAGATTGCCTAACCTACATCACATATGCAGAATATTTGGGATACATGAACTAGCAGGAAAATTAATTTTAAACACCTACGCGGTGAAGGGGATGTTGGGCTGCACGTGGCATGCATCTATAGAGTACCATGTGATAAATAGGATATGTTTTTTTCTTGCCCTTCTCTTCGGTTCCTTTTTCCCCAAGAGTTTTTTTTCTATTACAGATCCAAGCATTTATAATTCTTAGATTTCTGTAGAATTATACAGAGGGTAGATTCAACCTTGAGCCTCGCGTGGCCTCCTCTTCCGCTCGTTCTCAGTAACATGCTCCCTTCATTCAATACCGTTCGTCTTTGGCGTTGTTTGGTAAAAGACGTCAGGAAACTCTTCCTTCAGCATCGCTAACTTCGCTGGCGCTGTCGGCTGGGACCCAATCTCCTCCCACTTCCGCTTGCGCTCCAGCTTTTTCTCAACAGAGGGCTCTGGGCGCTCTCCAAAACAATCGCCACCCTTCTCCTTTTCGCAGTAATTGACATGTTTCTCAATGAATTGAGAGAGCTTTTGCTTCGGCTGAAGTGTAGGCGTAGATATATTCAACGAATCACATTCGTTGCCTTCCACTAGGAATACGGAGCGCGCATGCTTGCGAGACCAGTTGGGTTGTTTCCCCAGGTTTACTAGCACATGGTAATGAATTCGTTCGGTTTCGTCATTCTCGCGACAACCGTAATATGTCGCCGTCCTAAGATCGTTTCGTTCTAGCATATAGCTAAACCCTTTTTCGAACTCATCTTTCGATTCAATAGAGCAGTGCGAATAGGTCAAAAAGACACATCGATGGCGCAACCGAGGTTCGATTTGGGAAGGAGACCCAGATACCTTGGAAGACTTCTTTGACTGTCCGCTCACAGAGCTTGCTCGAGATTTACCGAACATTTTGGTATTAACCGAAGACGACATTGTGCTTGTTCCCATTTGGGATTGTTCGCTCACAGGGCCTACTCGATATCTAACGAACATTTTGTTATCCAAAAAAAAATAGTTTAACTCTGCCCAAACTATAGGGAACCATAGTCTCCTTATATATTACATCGTGCATAACGTGATATGGCACTTCGTGCCAAGAATTACCTAAATAGGCAATTTTCTTAGACCGCAGCGGGTGGGGTTACTGTGCCAAGAATATCCTGTTTAAGGAGACGGTCAGGTGCTGACCGGCCCGTTTGAATGGCAATACCGTGCCATTGCCCGGCACTACCCTTCAGGTTCATTTATACGATTCTGGCCAATGACCGGGGTCACCTCCCGCTAGCTATCTGCGGGTCCTCCCGGTTCTCAAATTCACCCTAATCGGGGAATTACGTTGAGACTCTCATATTCAATCTCGACCACCTTGAGTCAAACCTTGGAATATATAGATTGAAACATGCACAACAAACGGTTGACAACCAAATTCTCCTTTTTAGGAGCGAAATCCTTTCTGGATATCATGAAAAACGGCGCTGAGAGATCATTTCATGATTACTTTACCTCCATTGGAACCTATTTTCGGACCCAGGATGAAACAATCTCGGGTGGAACTGCAATCATTGTCGCTTGTGCATCAAGTTCCATATCTGGTTGTCGGAAAAGAGCAGTAAAAGTAAGATATAAGTCTGCATATGCCAGACTAAGCAATGCTAGAGCCGGAGAATTTAGAAATTAAATAAGCATTTTACCTGAGCCCGGAACCTTGCCTTACCCCCTTTGACAAAAGAAACCATATATTTGTCTAGATGCTAGCCTTTCCCAGAAGCCGTCCGACGACTTGTATTGAACTTTTCGGGGTTCGGAATTACGGAAGGATTTATGTTCATAAAGTACGTTTTTGTGCTCATTGGAGTCTGTCTATGCATGAGAACAGACATAATAGGGCTATAGGATAGGTTTCATTTTTAATGCGCTAGTTGCGAAAGTAAATCCCAGAGAAAGAGGGTTTCCTTTTTTGGAGTTTTTCAAAGAAAGACTATAGAAAATACTGGAAGAAAAATACTTGAAAGCCAAGAAGAGGTGTCTAGGTGCAGCAAAGCTTTCTAGACCTGATCTACCATCTTTACGTTGTACTTTGGTTTATGCAGCTTGACAAATGCATAAGGGATGTATAGAGACACAAAGGCTATAATACACTTTTTAGGTGCTGCTTATTTTCGGCATCACTCCGTACCGAAAGTCCTGGTCTTTTCAAAAGTTCAAGCAGAAATGGGAATTGTGGCTCATATCGCAAATTGGATGCTACATATGTTGAATGCCAAGGGAACTAGACAGCAATTGGTCCGAAGATATGGGGACATATGGGGGTATGGGGTAGCCTAGTGGTACCTGGGCAGATCCGTGGACCTATCTGCATCAAGCCCACACCACGTCTACAGATGCAGATGCGCAATTTCTGCTTGAAAATCTTCCATCGGAACGCGCGTTACACATAATTCCCTTATTCCGAGATGTCTTACCACATCTGCTGCTGGGATTTCCCAATAAGGGACAAGGACCGTGATCGAGAACTTGACCAAGATCCGCTTGCGCGGGTCAGGGTCGTCATAGTCGGTTTCGATCGGGCGATCGGGCTGATAGGAGATGGCAAGAGGACTATAAGACAAGTCTCTTTTCAGCCGGAATTTTCTCTCCGGCATCATCACTCAGCATTAGAATCATCGTACAGCGCCTTTCTTTGCCATCATGAGCCAGCTGCGTCCACTCAATTCGCTTAGCAGTGGCGTTGCTTTCGTTGCTGGTGCCAACGGAATCACTGGTCATGCTATTGTTGAATATCTTACTCGGCGACCCGAAACCGAATGGTGAGAGATCCCGAATTCCTTGACATACGGCCCCTCAGATGGATTTTGTCTTTTTCTAACCAGAATTTTGAGGGGAAAACAGGTCGAAGATCATCATCATCTCACGTAGGCCACTCAACGCTCGCTTCACTGATCCCAGGGTTGAGTTCATTGCCCTGGACTTCTTGGACTCCCCAGCGAGCATTGTAGAACAGATCAAAGAACTCTGTGGAGATGTCACGCATGCATTCTTCACGTCGTATATCCACAGCAACGACTTCTCTAAACTCCACGAGAAGAACGGCCCCTTGTTCCGAAACTATTTGGAAGCCGTGGACCAAGCTTGTCCGAAATTGCAGCGTGTTGTTCTACAGACAGGTACGCCGTGATTCTTCGATTTGCCAGGATCATTCTTTGCCCTAGGTCTCAAAGATTGCAATCCCTAACTTTTACTTAGCATTACGGATTTCAATTCCGAGAGTTGACATCCCCACTCGTGGAAGAGATGCCTAGATATGATGGACCTGAATCCATCTTCTACTATGAGCAGGAGGATGACATGTTCGCTATCCAAAAGCGTCGCCAAACCTGGAGCTACAACATCATTCGTCCCATGGGAATTATCGGATATGCCTCTCAATGTAGGACAACCCAAATGTTTTCGTTACTACGAGGCTGACGCAATGAATAACAGACATTGGCATCAACGAGGCTCTGCCTATTGCTCAGTACTTCCTCATTTGTCGTGAGCTTGGCATGCCTCCCAAATGGCCAGGAAGTTTGAGTAGCTACCTTCGGGTCGAGACCCAGTCTTACGCCCCTGGTATTGCCGACTTGACCGTGTGGGCTGCTACCCAGGACTGCTGCAAGGACGAGGCGTTCAATCACTTCAACGGCGATGTGATTGTCTGGAAGTTCCTTTGGCACCTTCTAGCTGACTACTTCAATGTCCCGCTAGGCTCGAGTGAGCCCACGGAAGCCACTGAGCCCATGGACATGCTTGAGTGGGCTAAGGACAAGCGCCCTGTTTGGGAGAGCATTGTGGCCAAGAATGGCGGTGACCCCGACGCTTTCCAGCTAGACTCATTCGCCTTAATGAACTGGTACATCACACCCACTGTGATGAAGTCGCCATTAATTAGCACCGTGCGCAAGGCGAGAAGCTTCGGCTGGACCCATCACGATGACACTTACGACACGTGGCTGAAGACCTTCAAGTCCTACCAGAATGCTGGTGTCTTGCCTGCACCCTAGACTGGGAGCAGCATACTCGGTAGCTCTTGGTGTAGCTTGAAGAGGGGTTCTTTATTTGAAACAAAACATGTAGTCAGATCTCCTGCAAGGTTAAAGTACTAATCTGAATGGCAACTCGCACATATATCAGCCTGGTGGCAGGGTGAGAGTGGTCGAGGGCAATGTATATAGCATTTCACTATCGTATTCGACATGAACAAGAACCCATCTACTCTATTCCCTCCTCCAGACAAACCTCCCCAGTCTCCCCACCTTCCCCTGCCTCTCCTGTCCGCTCCATCTGCTTCCGCCACAGCAACGCCAGATAATCCGACGAGGTAGCCTCATCAATAGACTTATCCTCACGAACCTTGATAAACCGTGGAAACCGCAGGCTTAAACCGCGCTCATCGCTAACTAGGCCAATAGCAGCCGGGTATGTAGGACTGAGCGTGATATCCGCAAAAGCCATTTCCCACACTTCACACGGCTCAAACCACACATCTGGTTCGCCATGATACTCGACGTAGCTGGGGCGTGAGACGACGTTTGTGCTGCCATGCGCGTACTTTTCCTTGTTGCTTTGGTAGAATTTGTCCGTGAACCCGGACATGCATTTTGTTACGGCTTCTAGGGTCCCTGTTTCCGGGTTGCGTACTGCTAGTAGGATCGGAGACCACCATTTTGCTTTGCGGCCTTGGCCATGCCACCCGGCTATCGGGATGAGGTCGAGGGTTTCGGAGGAGGTGCTGTAGTCCTTTTTTACTTTGAGCCAGGATTCGAGGCGTTTATCTGGTTCGTAGGTTGAGAGGAGGGGTTTGCGTCGGGTGGGTTTCTCTTTGGGTTTTACTTGTTGGTTTGGTTGCTCGGTGGTTGTGGTGGCCGTTTCGTTGGGGAGGTTGTTGTTGACTTGAGTGTTCGCACCGGGCTTGTTATCGAGGAGTTTAACCATGATTCCCTCGCACTTGACATCAATAGCCGATTTGAAAAACTCAAGGACAGTCTCGGAATCCGCTGATGTCGCATCCAGGCTATTCACCCAGCCAAAATGTTTTGGAATCTCTACAAAGAGACTGCGAAGTAGTTCGCGGCGTTCTCGAAAGGGGCGATCTAGCAAAGGCTCGCCGTTGAGATACATGAGGTCGAATGCGAAAAGACAGACATTGACTTTAATGTCTCCGATTTCGACATTTTTCTTTGCACGATTGGTCAAGACCTGGAATGGCTTGAGATCACCAGTCTCACGGTCCACGGCAACTACTTCTCCCTCCAGTATAAAACTGGACACGCCTTCTCCTCGCATTTGCGGGACGAGAGAGACAAGATCTGGGTACTTCTCCGTCATGAGCTCCAGATGGCGCGAGAAGATAGAAACTTTCCCTCGCTCGTCGCAGTGTACCTGCGCACGTTGCCCGTCATATTTGTACTCGCAGCTAAAGTCTCGGCCTTGGAGCTTCGTCAACATTTCTGACAGATCGCGTGTGATGCTGCCCAGCATCGGCCGTAGTGGGATGTGCATGGTTAGGCCGCATCTGACCAAAAGCTCTTCTGTGGGCCCAATCTCTAATAAACAAGGCACCAAATCATTGTAATTAGGATGTCTAGCGTATGACGCTTTGACAATTTCTTCCGCATTGTTGTAGATTTCCGCGAGCTCGTCCTTCTTCAAGCGTGCAAGTTGATGCGGACGAACCTCAAAATCCGCCCCGACTGGCTTAGAATACAAGACAGCTCGAGCGAGAGCAATCAGCATCGTTGTCTTGACTGCACCAATTCGCAGGTTTTGGACCAATGTCCGAACAACATATCGACTCTCCTCGGCGCCGCGCGTATCCTGTAGAAGCTTCTCGACAATCCTCTGCTTTGTCTCTTGACTACCAGGCCCTTTGCTACTGGCAATTTTCTGAAGCGACTGGTATACTCCCTTGATTCTTAACGGCTTCGGCTTCACTAGAGTGAATGATTGTCGTTTTTTGGCTTCGAATGCAACATCTCCTGCATCGCCATGCTTATCATACAGTGTTTTGAGCCCTTGGCTATTGAGGCCGTATATCCTTTTTAGTGCCTTGGAGATGGAAGAGCCCCCCAGACCTAGCTCTAGTTCTTCGTAAGGAGGTGATATGGAATTGGTTGCTAGCCACACAGCAGGCAGGACACTCGATGGATCCCCTTCAATGAGAACCCGAAGAAAGTTGACCAGCGTATCGACAATCTTTATTCGACTGGTCGTCGCATTCGCCAGGACAAAAGCTCTCGTCAATAAAGCGTAAGAAGCATCCCCGCCTTCTGTTGCCCAATGCGACCGCAGTTCTGCTGCGTATTGACTCGCATCGAAGGTCTGAGGGCTTTGATCGAGAGGAATAGCAAGGGATATTGTATCCTCCGTGCCAGCTGATGACTGGAGCGAGAGAGTGCTCTTCTTTTGTATCGCCGGCGGTACCGGGGGTGAAACAGGCGAGTCTAATGTAGATGAAGCTGTATTGATCTGCGTATCTGATTTTGTATCTTCGGTAGGTGTGCTTGTATTTTCTTGCTCGTTCCACTCGGCCTGTAGCTTGCGCGCAAGAGCTTCATCAGAGAGAGTTTGCTCAGTGACATCGGGGACTTTTAAATTGATTTGTTCTGTGGTCTGCCCTTTAAAGAACGACTGAATACTGCGAGTCGGCTGTGACGAATCTCCATTTCTTTTCCGCTTCTTTGCTGGACTAGACATTACTCAAAGTGTTGATAGTGTAAGAGCTCATGGTTGCCACTGCGGAAGACGTCAGTCCAAAAGGCGGAGATCAACATTCGCGACACCTTGCGCTTCCGCAGTCAAGTTTCCCTCTTCAACGATGGCCTCCCTCACGGAATTATCTTCGCATGAGCGGACTCGGGTCGAAGATTATTTAAATGACAAGATTCAGGTTTCTGCCGATCTGGAGAGTTTAGATTCGCTGCTCTCCAGTCTACGCGCGCAACAGGAGCTTCAGCGGAAGCAGGTACTACCCCCCACAACCCCGACCTTCTCTCTAAACACTACTGATATAAACTCGTCACCAAATAGTTAGCGGAAGCTAGCGAAGCACTTTCAAATGCGACGAAAGCCTCTAACGACCATGCCGAAGCCACTCGAAAGCAAGCCGAGGCGTTCACCGCGGAGCAAGCGGACATCGACCGACGATTAATGGCCATCACACAATCCGAGACCAGTGATGAGGCGGTACGGAGTCTGGAAAAAAGCATGGAGAAGCTCCAGCGGCTTGAATTATCCAAGGGATATGTGGAGTTGCTTAAGGAAGCTGAAGAATTGAGGTAATGCCGCTTTCACCAAGCATGAGGGGCTGGAGACTGAGACAGCAATACAGCAAGCAAGCTTTGGCAGACATTGCCTCCGAACCACGCGCCGCTTTGAAGCCCTATGCCCGACTACGAACCATCGTCGGACTACTGAAGGACGCCCAGCCTGCTGCCGAAGGGGCGGCCCCCCATCTTGTCGACTATACAGACAAACTAGCCTCTGCACTGAGACAACAGATGAAGACATACTTTAGTGACCGGCTGCAGAAGACGCTTGAAGAGTTGAAATGGCCGACAAGACAATTGAATGTTACCGACCAGCTCCTGGCCCGGTGGAGGCAAGATGTTGAGCTGTTGATCGACCTGCAATTACCGTACGATCAGTCACTTCATGCTCGGATGCATATTCTAACGGGTTTCTTCTTAGTGAACTTCAAAGCCGTGATACACTAACTTCCGGGCTGAGCTTCGAGCCACCAGTTCTGTTCCCGTTAGAGGTTATGGTGCATCATCTTGATCTCCGATTCAAATATCACTTCAGTGGGGACAAGCCAACCAACCGGCTGGATAAGGTAATATCGCTCTATATCTACGCAGAAACAGAAGGCTAACTTGGCTTCTAGCCGGAATATTTCCTCTCGCACATAATGGACCTTATCAACCAATACGGCGGGTTTTTCGTCTCTTATCTGCAACCCATCTTTGATGAAAGGGCCGAAGCGGTCGGTCCAGGTCTGGAATGGAACTTTTACAATGCATCACACAGTTACATTACTGCATTACTTCCTATGCTGAGACAGAAAATCAGCCTGTTCCTCCCCCAAATCTCAAACTACCCTCAATTGCTCAGCCACTTCATTCATGAACTGATGAATTTTGATAACGAGATCCGAGAAACCTGGAACTATATGCCAGATCCATATGCGGACGACAATTGGAAGGGCGTGACCTGGGAAGTGTTGACCAAACAGGGCTGGTATGATCGATGGCTTGAAGTTGAGAAGGACTTTGCGTTGGCGCGATACAAGGATATCATCGACACCGCGGACAGTGGAGAAATCGACTACGATGGCATGGAGCTCACTGCAACGAAACCAACAAAGGCTGCAATCCGCGTGAATGACCTTCTCGAAACCATAACCGAGCGCTATCAGCCCCTGTCATCTTTTAGCCAGAAGCTGCGGTTCCTCATTGACATTCAAATCACGATTTTCGATCAGTTCCACGAACGCCTCTATTCTGCACTAGAAGCCTATCTCGCAATGACGTCCACGATTGGACGGACTGTACAGGGGGCCGACGGGCAGGCCAGCGTCGAGGGTATCGCTGGGCTGGAGCGACTTTGCAGAGTATTCGGAAGTGCCGAATACCTCGAAAAGAAGATGGAGGATTGGAGCAACGATGTGTTCTTCGTTGAGCTCTGGTCCGAACTTCAAGATCGGGTTCGACAAAACCGAGATAGCGGTCGCAACGTAGCCGGTACTATGTCTGTCGCAGAGGTAGCGTCGCGTACCTCACCTGCAGTGGCCAACAACAACGGCACCCAGACCGCGGCATCACCCGATGGCGCTCTCTTCGATGAGACGGCATCCGCCTACCGTCGTCTCCGACTTCGCTCGGAAACTATCATCACATCCACCTTGTCCTCTAATATACTCGCCGCTCTGAAGCCCTACTCTCGCGTATCCACATGGGCAACGCTGTCGACCCCCTCTGCCACAGCGACGGCATCTCCCCTCTCA